TGAGGAGAAGGAGATACAGAGGGCTTAAGAAACTTGTTACTGTCACACAGCTAATAAAAGAGCAGAAATTGACTAAGTAAATGTAGCAGCTATTATTATCATATTATTATCCTCATCATCACCATCATCAACCTATTTGGTGATCTCTGCAGCAGACTAGGCTATAAAAATGAGTTCTTGGGTACTTCCAAAGATAATTGCCTCCTTTTGGAAGGAATCCAGAACAAGCCCACATTAAGCTAAATTCTGCATTGGAGTGGGCTGTTATACAGTTGGGAGGATTTATTCCAAGCACCTAGAAGACTCATGGAAGATGAATAGATAGAATTTGTCAGATTTTCCTTTACCTTTAAACATAACCCAATGCAATGAAGAGGACAATGTCATTTTGTCCATACACAAAGGCATTTTTAAACATTACAATGAGCTCATCTGGTGGTCATTCCTTGGGAAATTAAGTACTGAGTCAAAGATAAGCACGCACATCTCATATAAAATATGGTCTGCATTGTTAATGAGTGATAAAAGTTAATGGGACTTTAGTGTAAGGTTATGAGTCTACACCAAAGCAATTGAAAATGAAAAGGTAGAGTTTACTCAAGTTTAATTCTATAAAGCTTTTTATCAAAAGTATTTACTTGTTTTATCTCCCCTACCTATTTAATTATCAAAAATAAATGTAAAGTTGTAGTATTTTGGATATAAATTAATAATGAATGCTCATTTTTCTAAACATTTTTTCAATGACTCATGATCATATACGTATAATCATTTTAAAACATTCTTATCAAAGATGAGACTTAATGATTTCAAAGAGCACCATAATATATTATTTAAGTACATAACAGAAAAACAAATGCAATATTAATATAAATATATTCTCATTATTTTTTCTAAAACCTAGATGAATGTTCCAGGGTTTTAATAAGAATTCCTAATATGCTTCAAATGACTTTTAACTTTTATTTTCTTAACTGTTATCAATAATCAATTCTTTTTTTTTTTTTTTTTTTTTTTTTTCTGTAATCTCCACCCCCAACATCGGGCTTGAACTCCCCACCCTGAGATCAAGAGCCACATGCTCTTCCAACTGAGCCAGCCAGGGGCCCCTATTGTTATCAATAATCAGACATTTAAAGTATGCTGTGTTTTTTTCTTTTAATTCAGTTTTTTAAAATAACTGTTAGGAACGCATTTAGTTCTTTAAAAAATTTAGAAAACTTCACAAAAATTGGAAGAATTAAAAACACTAGTTGTACCTGGAGATTTAATATTCAAATCAATGTTTGGAAGACTTGATAAATAAAGCCAAACACTAGGAAAGCATTTTCTAACAAGACTGCTAATGGAAAATCACCTAATATAACAACTGATGACTAGAGAGAATATACCCAAAGCCATTCGAAAGTTGAGTTTTCACATCTCAGTACTGTACTGCCTCCTACGTGACAATCACATTCCTCCCATGCTTTGTAAGAATGAAATCAAAAGCAAGACCTCACCACCCCCAAGTACTTATCAGCAATTCTCCTTTCACTTCTTGACATATTTTAGGGTATACCTCAGGTCAAGATCAGGGACCAGGAAGAATATCCTTTGAATGAATTTATTTCTGCTTTTATCATTTCCTTTTTATTGGGATCTCTGATTCAAACCTGGGTAATCAATGGAGAAGAGATAATAGATTAAAGGAAGGAGGACAGAAAAGATGGCAGACATTTTCTTCTTTTTTTTTTAAGATTTTATTTATTTATTTGACAGACAGAGATCACAAGTAGGCAGAGAGGCAGACAGAGAGAGAGAGGAGGAAGCAGGCTCTCTGCTGAGCAGAGAGCCAGATGCGGGGCTCGTTCCCAGGACCCTGAGATCATGACCTGAGCCAAAGGCAGAGGCTTAACACACTGAGCCGCCCAGGCAGACATTTTCATTACCCAAGGGACTCTATATTTTAAAATGGGTCATTTGTGTTTATATATTCCCAGTTAACGAGCCATCATGTCTCTAGTTATGATTATTTTATTTAGGGGAAATTGTTTCAATCACCATTGAAGCCCAATTGAAAATTTTAGGCTCTTAGCAGGTGAGATGAAATCTGGAGTCGGAAAGACCCCAGTTTTGATCCCTTCATATAGTCCTTCACATATTCACTATGAAACTGGAAAAGTTCCTTAGTGCCTGTGAGCCGCTAAGCTGAGATCTGTAACAAGCAAGACATTACTTCATGGGATCATTGTAAGAATTCAGATGCTTAGCTTGGGCTTTACACTTAGAAGGTGGTTATTGTTACAATTCCTTCTACAGGATACCACAAACCACAACTTAAGTCTAGGGTCCTGGTGGCAGTGGAGGAGACCTGCAAGACACAGTCACCATTTGTTAACTAACCTCCAAGTTACTGGAGTTGTTAATCCAAGTTGTTAACTGACCATTTGTTAACGAACCTCCTTACCTGTCCAAGATCCCCCTTCTCATTGAAAGCTGTCATTCTCCCCCGAAAGCGTTCCTCTTTCTTCACCACCATCTGTAAAGCTAGGGTAGACCTTTAATGTTAATCATTTGACGCAAGTTATTTACATGAAGGTATGAAAAAGGCTTAACGGAACTGTGGACTTTTGCCCTTTTCAAGGGCCAAATAATTGACAACAAAGATGCTGGGGGTTTTTCTTCCTGTATAAGAGAAGCTCGGCTACCTTAAATAAATTAATAAAGAACCTAAATGTAATGATGAAGTATTTACCAGGGTAATTTTAACTCCTCCCTATTTTCTATTAAAGAAGCAAAAGTTAACTTGCTGAAAGAACCATAACCTATAAATACTATACAGTTGTTGTTGTTTTTTGTTTGTTCTTTTTTTTTTTTTTAATTTTTGCTGAATTTGCTCTTCATTCTCACAGGAAAAAAACTTCATTTCCATAAGGACAAGGATCTTGTCTGTTCTTCTTCATGGATCCATCGGAAGCACCTGGAACAGTGTCTGGTACATGGGGGATGCTCAGTAAACATTTGTTGAAAGATCAGGAAAAATACATCCTTAAACTCCTACCCTCCTCTGGAAATTTGCAAAAATAGATTAGAAAGTAAATAAAAGCAAACATTCTTTGATTTATTTGAAAGTCACACAAAAAGGAGATGTCCCAAGCATTGTGTTTATGACTACAGCCTTTGATAAGTAGTCCTGCGTTTGAATTTGGGCTGTACGACCCTAAGTAAATCACTTAATTTCTCTGTTTGCCTCAATATCCTTCTTCTGTAGAATGGGTATGCTGCTACCTCATAGTACTGTTATTAGGATTAAATAAGGCACTGAATGAGTAAAAGGCCTACAAAATTTCCTGACATAAAGTAAGCCCCAAGTGAGGCTTGAGTGTTTTTTTGAAACATGAAATTTTGCTGAGGAAGGCACTGAGGCCCATGAAGTAAACGACAGCTGGAGGTCCCACAGCCATCCGGCAAAGCCAGAACCAAACAGCCCGGTTTCGAGTCAGTTTATGAAAGTTTTTCCCACTGTACTAAGCTCCCTGCTCATCTCTTTATACATGGTCTCTAAAACTACTTGCAAAAAGGAAAAGATGTGTGCTTCACACTTTCTCGCAAAGTCTTTCCGAAAAATGCAAGATTCCCAGATGCTTGCTGGAAATATTGAGAAAACCCTGAACCATGCCACACAAAGCAGTTACTATAACTACCCTAATCCTGAGTTTCGCAGACTTATGGAAAATTTATGTTCTTGAGCGTTTGTGAGCACACAGCTCAGGCAAACGGGAATCCAAACAGCAATCCTTGAGGTGTCTTCAGGATGAATATCATATTCAGAGTCACCGAGTGCTTCTCTTCCTCCTCCGGTCTCACCTCCCTCGGCTCGCAGCATTCCCCACAGCTGGTGCTGGAAACCGCGAACTGCTCGCTAGTGCGGGCGGGGGCGGCCGAGGGGCCGAAGCCGGAGGCGGTGGAGATGAGGCGAGTCTGAGCAACGAGCGCAGCGCCGGCGCCGAGCTCAGCCTGGAACACAGTCTTCCCGGACCTGTCAAGTCAGACCTCACGTGCACACCAGGAGATCTAAGCAAGGCAACCTAACCAGCCGCGGCCTCCGAGCGCTGCGCAGATGTGCCGGGAGCGGAAGGTGAGTCACCCTGCCCTCCTCCCCACCCCCGCCCCGTGTCCAACAGGTTGGACGGGGCGCGACTCCAAGGGGCCGGGTGGGCACACCTCTAGGCTCACCTGGGCACCGCGCTCGGCTGCTCCCTTTACCGAGTCGGCGTTACTATTTAAACTCCTGCCCCAGCCCACGCCTGTTCTATTCCTTGTCTTTTTGCCTTCCCTTCTCCTAAAAGGAGAGCTCCGCTCTGTGCCGGAGAACAAGCCCAGAACGCCTGCTTTCTGGGAAACTTGAGCCGGCAGAAATGGCTAAACCCAAGGGCGCAAAGTGCCTCGATACGCGGCGGCAAACGGTGCTCCCTAGTCCTTAGTCACTCACTGGGACTTCAGTTAAAAGTCAAAACCAATTATCCTTATTCCTCAACCAGGAGGTCGAAACCAGAGGGAGGGAGGAGAAAATAGAGTGTGAGTGACAATCAGACCTGAATGAGAATGAATGGGAGCAGATGATGTGGCCCCCTCGCCCTGGGCACCCTCCGCCACGTGCTCACGCCCCCAGCGACCAGTCTCGCGGAGGCCTCTGAAGCCGCCGCAGGAAAAGACGACGGAAGAATACAGAGCCTCAAGTTGGAGAGAACTCATACCCGGCTACCACTTCCCCTGCTTTCTGAACTTTTCCTCTTGGTCTCCTGGGCTGGAGTGAGTCTTACCACCACCACCCCAGCCCCTGGCCGCGGTTCGTTCCCTCCAGAGTCATCCTGTCCTCCTCCCCCACTCTAGACCTCCTACCTCTCCCTCCCCGCCCGCTCCACCCCCTCGGTAGCGAAGCATTGAATCCGTACACCTCCCGGGCAGGGACTCTCCAGCATAAACTTAGTAGGGGTCGGGGCGGGGGTGGGGGCGTGCGTCCGGGAAGGGCTTCGGCGCCCGGTAGGGTGCCCCGGGACTGTCCCCGCCTAGACCGCGTCTGAGCTTCCCCCCACCCCCGGCGCGACCCTTCAGCCCCGGCGCTCCGACCCGGGAGCGCCGCGATCGCGCACTCGCCGCGCCCTAGCGGCCACAGGCGGAACGAGCACAGGGGGTGGAGAGTGGAAGGGTGCGCGGGCGGGAGGCACCCCCCTCGGGAGTCAGGGAAATCCCGGCTGCCACCAGGGGCCGTGCCACCACCCTCGCCGGACCGAGGCTTCCGGCGCGCCCCCCAACTTTGTGGCGCCCTCACACAGCGGCGGCGGGGATGGAGCTGCCTCCCCGAGGGCGGGCGCCGCCGGACTCGCCGCTGGACAGCTGCTCCCTGACCTCGCTGGACTCCAGCGTTTTCTGCAGCGAGGGTGAAGGGGAGCCCCTGGCGCTCGGGGACTGCTTCACGGTCAACGTGGGCGGCAGCCGCTTCGTGCTCTCGCAGCAGGCGCTGTCCTGCTTCCCGCACACGCGCCTTGGCAAGCTGGCGGTGGTGGTGGCCTCGTGCCGCCGCCCCGGGGCCCTGACCGCCGTGCCCAGCCCCCTGGAGTTCTGCGATGATGCCAACCCCGTGGACAACGAGTACTTCTTCGACCGCAGCTCGCAAGCATTCCGCTACGTCTTGCACTACTACCGCACCGGCCGCCTGCACGTCATGGAGCAGCTGTGCGCGCTCTCCTTCCTTCAGGAGATCCAGTACTGGGGCATCGACGAGCTCAGCATCGACTCCTGCTGCAGGGACAGGTACCCGAGAGGCGCGCGGTGGCTGGGCGGGGAGGCGGGCGCAGCGGGGGGGAGAGGGCAGCAGAGGTAAGATAGGAGCTTCACACAAGCCTCGCTGGATCCAGGCCTCAGAGTACCTGAGCTGTTTCTGAGCTGTTTAAGGTGGGGTGGCGATGAGGTCTGGAAAGCGTCAGAGCCACCTTTGGACTGGAACTTTCGGAACCTCTTCCTTTTTTGAATGAACGTGTGCCGATTCGTTTTTAAGGTAAAGGAGGTCAGGCCTGAAATAAATATTTGATGATGGAATAAATGAGTCAGAAAAGCTGTAATCCAAAAGATGCATGTATAGAGATGGAGGTCTCAGTGGGGAGCTTTATCATTTATCAGACCTAGAACACTAACTTTATTTTCTTTTTATTTCTTTATTCTTTTTTGACATTTTTTTATGTTCAGTTAGCCAACGTATAATACATCATTTGTTTTTGAAGAACACTAAACTTGGAGGGAGAACTGCTTTAAATACAGGAGATAAAAAATTGGTTCCTTGACTGTGAATGTTTGTGGGACTTTAATGATGACTTTGCTGTTATTTTGCTATTAGTGCTAGTTCTTCATGAAGATCTTTCCATTACACTCACACAAAAGCTCCATATGGCAAACTTATGTTCTTGTTACAAGAAAAATGAGTAATAAAATGCATTAAAGTAGATTTGTTGTATATAAATCCTTTTGTATAAACTTCTACCAAGAAAGGGTCATTTTAAAAATAATAATCCTGAATAAATTTTGAGTACTGTGGGAAGGAGACAGCCTGGGTAAAATATGAATGGACATTTCCTGCATTTTACCAACATAAAAAGCGTGACCTCACTGCTAAGTTTAATTTTCTTTTGACATCTATATTTTTGAAAAGTTAGATTAATCACCAAGTTGTTTTCTCTAAAAGATACTTCAGAAGAAAGGAGCTGAGTGAAACGTTAGACTTTAAGAAGGACACAGAAGACCAGGAAAGTCAACATGAGAGTGAACAGGACTTCTCCCAAGGACCTTGTCCCACTGTCCGACAGAAGCTCTGGAACATCCTGGAGAAACCTGGATCTTCCACAGCTGCTCGAATCTTTGGGGTCATCTCCATCATCTTTGTGGTGGTGTCCATCGTCAACATGGCCCTGATGTCAGCTGAATTAAGCTGGCTGGACCTGCAGCTGCTGGAAATCCTGGAGTACGTGTGTATTAGCTGGTTCACCGGGGAGTTTGTCCTGCGCTTCCTGTGCGTGCGGGACAGGTGCCGCTTCCTGAGAAAGGTGCCGAACATCATAGACCTCCTAGCCATCTTGCCCTTCTACATCACTCTTCTGGTAGAGAGCCTGAGTGGGAGCCAGACGACACAGGAGCTGGAAAATGTGGGGCGCATTGTGCAGGTGTTGAGGCTGCTCAGGGCTCTACGCATGCTAAAGCTGGGCAGACATTCCACAGGTATTCAAATTTCAGTGATGCTTTTTAATTTGCCATTGTTTGTAACCATTAGTGCTTGACTACAGTCCAAGAGAAGTGACTGTGAATTGATACTCTGAATTACCAACTCCCATCCTTTACCCAACCAGGATCTTCAAAAAGGTGTTGGGAAGCAAAATCCTGAAGTTGTTATCAGGTATAGAGAAGATGTCTCTCCCACTCCTTCTCTCCATATGACAGGTGAAAAACAGTTTGACCGCTTGTTAACCTCGATTTTTTTAACCCAGTGCTCAGAAGTTGTACAAAAATTAAAGACACTCTGCCTGTAGAAGGTTCTAGATAAAATATGCATAAACAGCATATAAAGAGATGCATAAATTATTTATGATATATAGGGACATAAGCCACTTTCTCTTCTGTGTCCAAGAAAGGACTTACCCCACACGTTCCTGGGCAAAAAATAAAGTCAGCCTTGTAGGGCTTTCTTTAGCCATGCAGAAAGTGCGATGACCAGGCACTGGTGGCCATCCCATGCTTTTTGAAGAGACAATGGATATATTTGCTTTGGAAGAAAGCTGAAGACACTGATTAAATGCTTTAATGCTTTAGTTAGTATCTGAGAATTTTCTTGTCCATAAACCTGGATGCATGAGAGAGATGGTAACAAGAATTCCTTAAAATCTAATGAAAATCTAATGAACGCTCTCCCTAGAGAAATCCCCACACAACACTCAGTTGTGCATGAAAGTTAGAATCAAGATCTGGGGTAGTCACACAAATCCATTAAGGATGATTCTTGAGTTCCTGAGGGCAAGAATTCTCAGTGGCTGGTCCTGTGGCTGTTGGATGTTCTGGAGTTCCCTTATGTTAGATTTTAATGAAAATAAGAACCCTCTGAAAAGCTTGTTAACAAGCAATTCTGAGCCCCAATCTGTGAAGAGACAGATTTTAATATTTGGGGGTGGGTTGAGGAGCATACATTTTAACAGGCTCACAAGGGATTTTGGTGGACTCCACTTTAGAAAACACTGGAGTAGGAGGATGCTGTGTTAAGACAGTACATATTAACACAATACACAAAATACAAGTAATTTAGCTAGGAAGTCCCATTACCACCTTATTTCCCTAAATATATGCCTGACTGGTCACCTAAACAAAGTTGAGGGTCATTATCTCTCCCTATTCATATAGGGAGAACTTAACTTCAAATATGTTTTTTCCCCACATGTCTGAGGTAATTAGGACTTCTCCTAACATAATTTTGGTAGTGTATTTTCCTAGCTAGTCTCACAGAGCAGGGATTTGATAATGGGGTTTCCAACAACTTTTAGAAGTACCACTCTTTGTTTTCTGACACACATAATAGGATGCTTTCTCCTAGTATTTATAAACTCCTTACAAGATTCGATTTAAAAACACCCAGTGAAGACTACATTTTTTTCCCAAAAGAAAAGAAAAAGAAAATAATAGTAATTTACACCGTGTCACCTCTTCAAAGTTTTTTTTTTTAGTTCCAAAGCAGTACAAAGTATTAATAAAGCCTTAATTTATTGAAAGGATATGAACACTTACATAAATATTTGACAATTTTATGTTGTGCATCACATTTAGCAATATATAGACATTGATGACATATTTCCCTATGTATTAACTATAAATACAAGTTGAGAGGTATTCTAGAATAACAGGAGGACAATGGTGGGCCAGAGAGCTAAAGTGTAAATCCTGGCTGTGTAGCTTTGTAGTAGACATGGCACTTCTCTGTGTCTCAGTCTCCTCATCAGGAAAATGGCATAATAATTGCATCAATCTCATATTGTTTTTTGAGTATTATCTGAGTTAATAGATGTAGCATACAGAAATTCCAACCACTTTGTGTTTCTTTACAAAATTATTTAGAACATTTCATCTTGAAATGAAAACAGTCTTCTAAACACTGCTTTTTCTCATGCTGTCAATATATTTCAGAAATACAATTCAATGCAGACACATCAAGGTCAGTTTCCTAAAAGATATTCTAAAAAAAAAAAAAACTTCTTTTGAAGTTAAACGTCAAAATTAATATTCCTTAATTTTTAAAAATAACTGGTAAATAATTTAAGAATATCTTAAAGTTTTAAGAACAAAATTTAAAAATAATGAGAGCACAAATGGCATTTTAATGCAATTTCAAATACTCGCTAGTGAATAAAAGTTAAATGATTCTAAAAGGTATTATTCTGACCTTCAGAGACAGCCTGACCTTCAGGCTGATATGACTTCAAAATTTTTAGCAGTGTTTGTGAAATCTGGTGTCGGGGGAGATGCCATTTTCAAACTCTAGTCCCATTATGGGCTCATCTGACTCTCCTTAGGGCTGAGTTTCTCTGGAGATGGGATTGGACTCTCTTGGGTATCACACAGGAGTAGGGAATGCAGCAATGCCTCATAGTGAGTGAATTTCCTAGTAGTTTCAGTCCCCCATACCTTTTCGCAGTGAAAGAATAATCTGTATTCAGGTCTATCTCTGTACAGGAAAGCAGAAATTCTATGTACTCCAGGGAAATGTTTCCCTATAGCTTTGGTACTATTGGTGTGAATTTCAGTGCATGTCACGGGAGTTCAGGAATCCCTCCTGATAAGCCTTTAAGATGCCCTGTGGACAGTGAACAGACATAGCGTGATCTCATGTCAGTGCGGTCACTGCTCCTGCTGGTTCACCTCGTTCTTCTGGTGGACACTCTTTACTGCTTCTGGCTTTCAGATAGCAACGCCCTGATTATGTTCAGCTTCGTTAGGAGGGTGAATAAAGCAGACACATAAAATGTAAGGAGACAGCATTAAACTGTGTGCCAAAGTGATGCATGGAAATGCAGGCCTGGCCAAGTGAGCCCTCCACGTGCCACGCAGCAGTGGACTAAAGTGTCATTCCTGTCATCATCCCCTGCCTGCCTTGTAACCTCATATGTCACCTTTTGTGTGTGTTTCCATAGTAGGTGTTTAGTAAATGTATAAGTAGATGAATGAACCTAACTAGATTTCTTTCTATCCTTTGCAATCTGGCCCCACCAACGAGACTATGAGCTCCCTGAAGGAAAAGATTATGATTTATCATCTCGGTATCCCCAGAACATTGCCCAATGCTGGAGACACCTTAGATGTGAAATGCACGTTTGTGGGCAGAGAGCCGGGCAGGAGAGGGGAAGAAAGGGAAATGGAAGGTGGCGAGGGGAGGAAGGGGCGCCAGTGACTGACGACAGTTGTTCTATTCCAGGATTACGCTCCCTCGGGATGACAATCACCCAGTGTTACGAAGAAGTCGGCCTACTGCTCCTATTTCTGTCTGTGGGAATTTCTATATTTTCAACTGTGGAATATTTTGCTGAGCAAAGCATTCCTGACACAACCTTCACAAGTGTCCCTTGTGCATGGTGGTGGGCCACAACATCCATGACCACTGTGGGCTACGGGGACATTAGACCAGACACCACCACGGGCAAAATCGTGGCCTTCATGTGTATATTATCAGGAATCCTTGTCTTGGCCTTGCCTATCGCCATTATTAACGACCGCTTCTCCGCTTGCTACTTCACCTTAAAGCTGAAGGAAGCAGCCGTCAGACAGAGGGAAGCTCTGAAGAAACTCACCAAGAATATAGCCACTGATTCCTATATCAGCGTTAACTTGAGGGATGTCTATGCCCGGAGCATCATGGAGATGCTTCGGTTAAAAGGCAGAGAAAGGGCAAGTACTAGGAGCAGTGGGGGCGATGATTTCTGGTTTTGAATTCACTTTCAATTTATGTACAAAAGCTTGTGTACAACTAAACCCAACTGATAAAGTCTTGATATGGATGTCTGTGTACTGTTGAAGAGTCTCTTTTGAGTATCACCCGTGTTAGTTTTTACTGATACATTGCTTGGTCTGCTAGAATAGTTCACATCCCTCAAACCAAGTGCACACTGAGTCTCACCACCAGTCATTTAACACAACCCAATACAAGGAGGCCAAATGTTTGAATCGTCAACTATAAAATAAGAGTGCAATACAAACCACAAAGTTTAAAGCTTTACGTATCACTGATTTTAGAAGTTCTTTGCATCACCAATTTAAGAGAATGGGAGTTAAACTGCGTATCCCAGAGCAAAGATAAGTGAATATTTAAGAACATCCTGAAAGACTTGGCTATTTAAAGACATTCTCCAAGTAAATAAATCACTCCTTTCTCCATCAGTTGAAACTGTTAAATACAACAATTCTCTTTGCAAGCAAAAATCCTGATTTGACGGCCATAGATGGTGACCCTGTCTTCTCTCTGGTGCAAACCCCTGGTCACAGAGGGACTAAGTTCTGATTCCCATTGTTACTATCAGAGGTGGGAACCCCCAAACTGCTTAGCCAACAGCAAAAGAGGCTGTATAGAAACTTTGAGAACTGTGCCTTATCCTCTCCACTGATTGCATTCCTGTGGCCTAGAGCAGGCGTCTTCTGCATCCCTGGGAAATCAGAGGGTCTTCAAAAATCTCTTTATCGATGTGGTGTTCAAATTATGTCTTTAAAACCACAAATATATAAATGTGAAGTAATGAACATCCTAAATATAGATACCGAAATTATTACATAGTCTTATTTCATAAAATGAGAATGATATGTCGAATGATACCACCGGTTGAACTGGAAGATCTTTTTTTTTTTTTTTTAACAAAAAATATTATAGCTCTCTGACTGCTGGGGCATATAGCAAATGTTTAGACTGCATCCGTGATAATGATGAAATTCATGGACATTCTATTATATGATTAAAACCAAAAGTTATAAACCTGAGAATTAGTTTATGATTCCCGATAGTCTAGTTGAGGAGATTTTAAAAACTAATACCTGCATTTTCAGTGTGTTTAATAGTGCCTCCAAGGGGGTGAAATTGGTTCTTGGGGGCAAAAATATCAGTCCTTTTATTCATAAAACAGATACATACATGCAGTACATGAACAGATATAGAGTATATCTATGGTGTTAAAATTTCGTGGGGTGGAAAATTAGAGGAAACATTGCCTAGGAGGCTCTTTGCCAGAGTTAGATGGTGCTAAGAAATACACATTGAGAAATACTGCTTTAATATATGGCTCTACCATAGTTCACCAAGTCTATTTAAAACACCCTATTGTATTATGAACCACAAGAAAGTGGGGAAGGGAGGAAAGGGGGAAGGAAAGAAGGAAGAACGGGAGGGAGAAGGAAGGAAGGGGAAGGGAGGGAGGGAGGAAAGACGAGAGAAGCCATTCAATTATAAGAGGCCATCGATTATAAAATGCATCCAGATTTTGGATATGTAAAAATTTTAAATATGCATCTTAAATCAATAAAATATCATATACACTACCTCCGGTTTTCTGGTATGCATGCTTAAGCTCTGAAAACATTTTCAGTGATTTTCAGTGATGCCATGAGTTTCAGATTGTATGCTAAAACATTTTAATCCACTTGGCTTATTTCCACTTCTCCCAAATATTATGAAAGATTTAGGAGATATGAATGGTAATAAAATAAATATTTTCCCTCTTACACAATTCATAGGTGCTGGAGTATAGCATAGGGCCACTAGTTCTATCAGCACCATGCTCTAACCAACTGAGCTAACCGGCCACGCACTAATTCTAGTATAAATCCCATCCATAGTCTGAAGATGAAACAAAAGTTAGGTATAGAAGCCAAACTTTCTGTGGCTTCTCTAGAACTCTCCCCATTAAGAATAGTTGCTCTGATCCAGGTCTGTGTTCTATACTCATTGTGCATGATGTCATTAATCCCAAAATATCCCTATTAAACAATTTTTATTATACTGTTGTAAGTATTAGTTTATTACATTTATTCATTCAACAAATATTTATTTAGGACCCATCTGTGGGGTGGGCACTGGAGATTCTTAAACCAGACTAAGTCCTATTCTCTTATATTTAATATTCTATTTGAGGGTTTGAGGCAAACACAGATGGTAAGACTGAGGTATAAGAAGGTAAAATAACCTGCCTAAATTCACACACTCCACATATTGGTGATAGAGTCCGGAATGAACCCCAATCTGCTGGACCACAAAAAAGATACTCCTAAAAGTCATATTATAGATTTCATTATTCCCACACAGCCTGTGGATAGGGATTCATTTCATAGCCAGGCAAGCCAATTTCTTGTGGACAGAGAAGTTGCCTTAAGAAAAATTTCAGCTTATTCTCAGAGGTGGAATGGTGCTTATAAGGAACAGCTATTGCCATGCTTTATAGCCATTATTAGACAAGAAAAATATCTGTAGAATAATTAATAGCTAGAAAAATGAAAAAAATGTATGTATTCCATAGAGATACATTTTCTACCATCAAAAATTCTTAACATGTACTTCATAAATGTGATATGTTAGCATTATATATTTTGTCAAGATGTGGACATTTCAAAAGAAAATTTTAAATACCATTGCTTAGTCAACTTCGCTGTTAGAGAAGTATCAGTGTACTTATTCAGCAATGTACATATAAGCAAGCCAAATTTAATTTAAATAACATGAAATAACTGTTAATTTTATATCCCATCATTTGAAAAACATTTAATATTTTTTCACAAATGTAGGAATTATTGCTACAAAACAATGTATTTAATTTGGAAATATAAATAATGGAATTATTGGCTTTCTTTTTAGAGAACAGCTTTTTAGAGAACACTAATTAAAAACATTTGCGTGCACGGAGGTAATGCTTGAACATCTAAAAGAGCAATTTTAAGAAGTCACTATGGTGTCTCTAGTAGAAGTGTGGCATGATGATCATGTGTTACTGGGTTCTTTTATATACAAGGAATTATTGCATTTATCATTTTAATGCAAATTAGTGTTAAATATAATGTATTAGGTGCATAAAGAAGTAAACTGAGGTAGAAATCTCAGTGGTGTGTTTCAATGTGGAATTCTTAATCTGATTAAAATCTTTGACTAAGCTTTTGCAGAAAATAAACATGCTGGCCCAAGTTATCAGAGCAACAGATTATCATTGGGTAAGATTAAGGCTTTGACGAACATTTCCGCTGAAACATTTTGTTAACATGAAAAACCTGCTCTTTTGAAATATTAACCATTAATATCTCTGTCTTATCAGTCCTTCAGTTCAGGTCCAAGATACCGGTTACAAATGACGTGTTTTAGGGCTTCCCTTGGTGATTTTCCTTCACAAAGCACCACCACTCCCAAACCTCTTTCCAAGCCATGCTGATACATGAAATAAAATGTCCCATAGGAGGGTTTTACTCATAAACCACACTGGCAATTGCTTATGTGGCATGTCTTTAGGGTTAATGGGAAACGTCCTCACTTGCCTTCTGTTAGAATCACTCCCTTGCTTATCCCCTCAACTCCCCTTGCGGCGCTCTTCCTGGTGTGGAATCAGTAAGACTCAAATCCTAATTAGATCCGATCTTGTGCCTCCGTGGGCCTGCCCCCACAGAGCTGATCACAAGGACAGAAAAAAAACCAACGTATGCAGACTGCTTTCATTTTTACATTCTTGCCTACAACCCCAAATGGGTTCTTAATGCTGCTAAGCAATCATACTGCAATTCCTGAATGTATTCACTCTCTAGATAAATATAGACCTCCAACACCTCCTTTTCATTGCACTTTCACTCAGAAAATAGAATTGAATTTTCCACAAGGGCCGACACCCACATTTATCCACCTACCTCCACCTGTGCCTGTTCACTCTGCCTTTCCTCCTATTATGTGGATTGAACTGTCCATCCTTTCCCTCCTCTCCAGCTTTAGGACATGGCTTCAGAGAGCCTAGCCCTTCTTCCTACTACACCATCAATTTTCCCCCTTGTTATTGGAACATTTCTATCAACATATAAGCATGATTAATTTTTCCCATCTTAAAAACAAAAACAAAAGCAAACAAATGAATTTTTTAATAACTCCTAGAATCGATGTCACCCTCTAGGAAACACCCCTCTCCCAAGTCTCTTTTATGGCAAAACTCCTTGACAGCACTTGGACACTCCATTTCTACATTCACCAATTTTTCCTCATTCTTTCTTTTTTTTTTTCCTCATTCTTTCTTGAAGATCCACTTAAATCAGCCTCCCTCCCCTACATATCCTAAAACTGTTCTCACGGTCAGCAATTCCCCATCATTGCTAAATTCAGTCATTCATTCTCAGAATTCATGTTGCTTGATCCATCAGCCGCATTTTACAAGATTATCTACTTCCTTGAAGAACCTTCTTCACTTGACTTCCTCCCCGTTGCATTCTCTTGATTTCCCCCAACCTCTTGCTCTGGTTGAGGTGTTCCATCAGCCCTTAATCCCCAGACCTCTTCTCCTCTCTATTCACATTGCTTATCCTGTTTCACGGCTTAAATATCACTGATAGTCAACTCCCAAATTTCTACCTCCGGACTAACCCTCTCGTCTCAATTCCTGCATCTTTAGACTTGTGTACGTTACTGCTTGTTCAGTATCTGTACCTGAATGTCCAATACATATCTCCTGATTAACACATCCACCACCAAATTATTTATATTTTCTCCAAACTCTATGTTAATTCAAGTCCTCTGAGAAGCAGATGCCAAAATGGGTGATTATTGTAATACTGATGATATCTAAGACATTTACTAGGGGGTGGGGGAAGGCCTGTGAAGGATAAGCAGGAGTCTAGAGAAGCTGGAAAGAACTTTTAGACCATGATGCAAATCTGACACCTGTGAAGAGGAGGTAGTGAGGCGGCTTGGGTTAAAAAAAAAAAAAAAAGTCTCTGATAATAGCCCAGTTCTGAGAAAATGTCAACCAACGATGGAAAGTTGTGAGCAAAAGTAGCC